ATTATTATCAATTCCACCAGTAACTAATACTTTTCCATTTGATAATACAGATGCTGTATGATATTCTCGTGCATTAGTCATGTTACCAGTGGTTGCCCAAATACCTGTTGATGAATTATACAATTCAGCACTATTTGAAGCACCATTAAAACCCCCGCGTCCACCCCCAGTAACTAATACTTGTCCATTCAATAATACAGATGCTGTATGAAAAGTACGTTCTTTATTCATGTTACCAGTAGTTGTCCAAATACCTGTTGATGGATCGTACAATTCAGTACTCTTGAAATAACTACCATTATTGTATCCACCAGTAACTAATATTTTCCCGTTTGATAATGTAGATGCTGTGTGATAATACCGTGCATTAGTCATGTTACTAGCAGTCGTCCAAGTGCTTGTTGATGGATCATACAATTCAGTACTATTTAAAGCACCAGTATAACCAAATCCACCACTAACTAATACTTTTCCATTTAATAATACAGATGCTGTGTGAAATTGTCGTGTATTATTCATGTTACCAGTAGTTGTCCAAGTGCCTGATGATGGATCATACAGTTCAGCACTGTGTAAATAACCAGTATAACTAAATCCACCAGTAACTAATACTTTTCCATTTGATAATAAAGATGCTGTGTGATATTCTCGTGCATTAGTCATATTACCAGTATAAAACCATCCTAGAAGTTATATTTTTAGACTATACAACATTAGATAATCAAATAATCAACATCTTGACGGTGTGGGTGTGGGGGTGATTGTAGTCAAAAGAGTATCTACCATCACCCACCCTTAAGATGGTTTATAGAGAACACTATTCGATAAATTTACAAACGAGTACTCATGTAGATCTAAATTTATCATCCATGGAATTCATTCTCACACGAAATAGAACTCACTATAAATTTAGAAGAATGAGATAGTTATCAATAAGAATCCTTTCTAAAAGTAGTAGTCTTTTTGATTACTTGTTGCTACACATCTCAATCGAAAAGAAAATCACAGATAAATTTTAATTCCAAATCTTTACAAAGCTAGTTCAGAAATGTTATTTGTTCATTACTCACTAGCGGCTGTACTAGATTGATTAGTTGTATTGACGAAATGAACTGAAAATCAAAAGAAAAAAGCTATGAGCTAGAATCAGTGACGGCGATACTGCATATTTTACCTGTTGTTGCTGGTTTTGTTGTCGATTTTTCAGTTATTGTTGTTGCATCTGAATCAAAAGAAAGAAGTTAGCTACAAAATTTAATGAAATCACATTTACCCTTTGTTGTAGATTTGGTTGTGCTTGTTATATGTGCTATTAAAAGATAAAAATAATTTATTTTAGATCAACTAATTGCTTTCGTTCTAATCGTTTTAAACTTTGCAAGACAAAATTCCTTACTTGCACTTGTTGTGTGTATGGTTGTAGCTGTTTAGAGAAAAAAACAAATAAAACTAAAGTAGTTATTAGAAATCTCTTTTACTAGTAACAGTCTTTGGTGGACAAATTTGTTTGTTTGCCAAAGCTAATGGATAACATATTGGTTTACCACATCGTGTACTATTCACACAGATTGTGCCCTCGATTGAACAAGTTACATTATCCATATTACATCGTACAACACTTGCACAGGAGCAAATAGTTGAAGCACATATTCCTATATTCGGATTGGATGTTAATGAAAAACAATCGCAGTCAACATTCGATGAACATGATAGTCGTTGAGAATTACATACAGTAAAATTACATGTTGCTGTTGTTGTTGAGTTAACTAAGACATAAATAATGAGAAAATATAGGAAAAAATAATAGTCATTATTATTAATTACTTTGCTGTTGTTGTTCTGATGCGTTTCTATCGTTGAAGAAGACAAAGACAAAAGTATATAACATGTAGAACTTGATAATTAATACTTACACCAAAGTTAATACATAGAATAAAAATATATAGATTGAACTGAAAATGTTCGCCATTGTGAGATATAATAGTATAAATTACTAAGTAAAAAATCTTCTTCTTGTATTACTTTTCGTTACGTTTATTATATAAGCGTTGTGAAGTAATCGAATGAGAACGGACCAACTTTATAGTTACAAAACAAAATAATTCTTTTCTTCTTTTTTTTAGCAAAATTATGAAATGCACTTTCTTTTAGTCTGTATATTCATCATCTGAAATTTCAAGTGTGTTTATGGAGAGAAAAAAAATTATTTAAAAATCATAACATTACTGAATCATATATTTAATGGATGAAAAAAGAAAAGAAAAGAAAAGAAAAGGAGAAGAAACAAGCCATTGCTACTTTTTTGCTAGTAAAAGAAAAACATTGATCCTAGCAGTTACTTTTAATAAAAAGCTTCGGGTAAAAAGAAAATTGTACGGCTCGAAATTGCGGCGCAACTGCCATAAAAAAAATCGTAATTGCGCACAATTGTGGAAAAGTGATCAGAGCTGCGCCGCATTTGAGACGAAATAATTGCATTGTCGAGTAATCATATTTCGGCATCATCCGGGGTGTGGGTGTGTATATAGCTATCATGTTATATCACATTTATACCTACCCACACCCACACCCGCATCCATACATCACTTGAACAGAGGCATATTTAATAAATTACCTGTAAAATTTTTTTTATTACACAAAACTTGTCTATAGCAAATAAAAAGGTCAGCTGTTATTTTAACGTTTTTTTCAGTATTTCTCTAACTTTATTTTTCAGATGGCTGTTATTTTTGAAAAAATTATTCTTGCATAGAGTAAAAAATATTTTAGAGAAAGTCATCACATGTGAAATTAATTTAGTTATCATTAGTTTCTAGAAAAAGAGTTTTTTTTGTTGATTTTTCAGAATTATTATTATGAAAAAATACAGAATAGTTCTTTATCTTTATATTTAGAGAGAGCAAAATTCTTGTCTAAAAGAAATAGGAGTCTGTTTTATGAAAAAAATGAAGTACGATCTTGTTATGATTAATATTTATTTATTATGATTTTGTTTACGTGATTCTATAAAGTATCATAAGAATCTTAAATATTGAACAATAAACTTGATGATAATATCAAATCTATACAAAATAGAATATTTGTTCAATTGATGTATTACCAATAGAGAATATGCATGAGGAATTAGGAATATAGATGAAAATCGATAACTATCAATCTAATAAAAGCTATTTCTGATTGTGGTAATTTGTAGAAAAGATCTTAACTGACAAATTTGAAGAGAATACAACTAAAAATATCGGCTCGTGTTTATTGAGGGCGTGCATGTAGATGAATAATGGACATCTATACTCATATCCACCATCAAAATGAATAAATCGATCATTTACAGTATTTTTATATTTCATACAAATCTAGTTATGAACATAAGATAAGAACATTTGCGGATATTTTGTTTGTGAAAAGATCAACACATAGATGGAAATATTTTATTAAGTTTTTGACATTTATTTTTAAAACTATCATGTTTATTAACAATAAAAAGTAAATATATAATTTTATAAATTTAAATTTCTTTTGCTAATCGTAGCATGTATTCGAAGATAATGTGATTGATCATCATTTAATACTTATTCAGTTGATTGACGAAATAATTATCCATTTTGCAAGCATTATTATCTTTATTATCATTTAAACAATTTAAAATAAATTTAAAAGTTAGTCGAATATTTGATAAAGAATCTAATTTATTATTTAAACTATGTTCAGATAATGAATTTGAAAATAAACTTTGCGATAGATCAATAATTTGAGTGCACTGATAAAAAGCTTTTGATGGACATTGAGTGGTTATATGATAAAATTGATAGAATTTTTTTCTTCAGGTTTTAATTGTTTTCTTGGTACATAGATTTTTTTTAAATTTTTTTGAATATTTGAACATGAATAAACTCGATCAATCTATCCATCTTTTTCTGTTTCTTCTACTCCATTATGTAGAAAAAACAGCAACTCACAAGTTTTAGAGAAGTAAACACTAAACTTGTTGATCTGTTTCTCCACGTGATAATTTGAGGGTGTGGGCATTCATCTATTTTCGCATCTAAATCCACGCCCATACCCTCAATGTGTTTTATTTTTGGAAGTTGTTTCACCTATAATTTTTTTATTGAGGCAATAAGAGCATCTAATTGTTTCAAACCTGAGATAGATATACGTGACTTAATAATCCCATATCATCTTCATTGAAAACCCTGGAAACTTCCTTTTTTAGTCTCTATCCATTGAATTATCCAGGATGATAATTATGTCATTCGGAAAGGATCAAAAAGCGCAGAAAAAAATCTCAGTCATTAGCCAACATCAACTAGTTTCATGTTATATTATTTGATCTAGGGCACAGGAAAATTGAAATATTGGATTTCTAAAAATAAATATCTCAGAGTTTTTTCTAATAAATAAAAATCAATGATAGTTTCAATTAATGTTGTTCTTTTAACTAACAGATTAAATTCAAGTAAATTTTAGCAATTAAGAGGACATTTACGATTAGATTTGGTTTGGTTCAGTTGTTATATTTATTCTCGCATTAGTAATTTTTTCTCATAAATCAATTAGAATAGCTTATCCAAAT